CGCCCGCCTGCCCTCACTGCTCTCTGACTTCAGTTCTATCTCTGCAGGCTCAACAACTTGTTGCTTTTCTAGAAGATCATAACGGAACCTATCTATCCCTCTAGCATGGTTGCCCCCAGGGACTTAAATAATGGACCAGAAATACTCCAGTCCATCCTAAGACAACTAGACTAATAGTTCTTAAATTACCAAAAATTCTGAGTTCGGCACTATAGCTAGCAGCTGTCCAAGATATTTTTCTTTTTAAGAACTGGAGTTACCTGCCTGGACAGACCCAGTTTACTGGTTTAGGACCTTTGCTGCCAGAAGTGGGTGTGGGGAGAAAGTTCTTAGCTCAGTCTACCTCTGCCTTGCTCATGGTTTTTAAAGGGGTCTTTTCCTTAGCAGAAGGTGAAGACTCTGAAATGGACTGATTACTCCTACAGGCCTGTTGGATTTGGCCCATGGCATTTTAGGGGGGAAAAAAAAGGATTTGTGATATTTGAAACTTTAGGAATTTCACAGAAAAATTCAGATTTCTGACTTCTCTGGAAATAAGCAGTTCAAAATGGAATGCAGTGGCTCTGCAGTTCAGGGCTCTCGAGCCCTCCTGGCAATCACAGGCTGCCCATTTCACAAGGTCCCAAGGGGTGAACATGATGGCTTGTGTACCACAGCTACTGCTACTGGATTATTGTGAAGATTAAAGTAGAGAGGGGAAGATATACTGGGGAATGAGTTTTAAGCCAGGGCTAAAGTTAGAGGGGTGAAGGCAGAGCCGAGCAGTATTAGGTACAGCAGAAGTGCTCATGCTTGAGAGGAGAATTTCCCCCCAAAATCACCCAGAAGAGAACAGATCATGTGGTCCACTGGTTCCAGCAAGTGACATATGTCACCTGGCATCATGTTGCATCAGCATTATGTTAAAACTTGGGATTGCCCAGCCGGCATGGCTCAGTGGTTGAGTGTCTACCCATGAACCAGGAGATCAGGGTTCGATCCAGGTCAGGGCACATGCCCAGTTTGTGGCGCATCCCCAATAGGGGGTGTGCAGGAGGCAGCTGATCAATGATTATCTCTTCATTGATGTTTCTCTCCTCTCTTCCTCTCTCTGAAATCAATAAAAATATATTTTAAAAAACAACAACATGCCGAATCCGGTTTGGCTCAGTGGATAGAGCGTCGGCCTGCGGACTGAAAGGTCCCAGGTTCGATTCCGGTCAAGGGCATGTACCTGGGTTGCGGGCACATCCCCAGTAGGAGATGTGCAGGAGGCAGCTGGTCGATGTTTCTCTCTCATCGATGTTTCTAACTTTCTATCTCTCTCCCTTCCTCTCTGTAAAAAATCAATAAAATATATAAAAAAAGAAAACAACAACAACAACAACAACTTGGATTTCTGGAGCCAAACTCCAGATCCAAATCTTCAATCACTGGGACCCAGGAATCTGCATTTCAACAAGCTATCCCTGATCATTTCCATGCAACGTCATATTTTAAAGCTGTTTAGAGAGAATGTAAGTCTCTGTTAATATGTGTTATTTGATAAAAGCCCATGTGATTCTCATGCTCTCCATTAGGGAGGGGGAGCAAGCTCTCAAGAATCATTGATTTAACATTTTTCAACTTATAACTAAGGAAAATGAGATTCAGAGGGTAGAAAGGGGAATACCATTTATTGAGTGCTAACTATGCCAAACGTGGTAAGTAGAGCTTTATAGTTGCCTAATTTTTAAAAATATATTTTGATTTTTCACAGAGAGGAAGGGAGAGGGATAGAGAGTTAGAAACATCGATGAGAGAGAAACATCGATCAGCTGCATCCTGCACACTCCCCACCGGGGATGGGCCCGCAACCAAGGGACATGCCCCCGACCGGAATCGAACCCGGAACCCTTCAGTCCGCAGGCCGATGCTCTATCCACTGAGCCAAACCGGTCAGGGCGTTGCCTAATTTAATCTCACAACTTCATGAGGTAGATACTATTAACCTAATTTTACAACCGAGGAAACAGGCATGGAGAGGCTAAATAACTTACCCAAAGTTGGTTTGGATCCAAGAACTCACATTCTTGGCCACTGCTTCCTCAGCAGCCCTATAGAAGGTGAGCAGAAGCCACCACTCACTCCTTTTGAGCTAAATGTCCTGTCTGGGCCTCACCTTCCTAATCCATAAAATAAGCTGGGGTGGGTGCATTCAATGATTTCCAAGACACTGAGAAGCTTTACATTGTACACAGTCTCCTGGCTATTTTCCTCCTCTGACCACCTTCTCTAAATGGGTTCCAACTGCAAAAGACTCGGTCTCTTCTTTTCAGAATACCCCTACATTTCTCTTTCCTTCTTCACTCCACTTTAGATTCCTAAAGCAAATAGAAGAGAGTCCCTTAGCAAAGAACCTCTCGACAATCCCAGTCCCAGAGATCTCTTAGTCCCCCCCCCCCCCCCGCTCCCCGCTGCGCCCTCTCCTGTTCATTTTGCCCAACTGCCCAGGGCTGGGTTCTCCCCAACACCACCATGCCCTGATAAAGATATAGTAGCCTAATAGAATAGTACTTAAAAACAAAATAGCATTCTGCAGTTCTTAAAGGTTTTTACTTACATGATCCTGTTTGGTCCTCACATCAAACTTGCCCAAAAGAAGAATTGTCCCATTTTACAGAATGCTCAGAAACAACATGGTCCTGTAACAGCCAGTGGATGATGCTTGGGATGCTTCTCTGTGCATTGCTCCCACCTGCATACACTACATCTGCCCATGGATGCCCACTGGATTCCAGAATTAAGTGCATTTTAATGTAAGACCTCAGGGTCCTTAGGTGGGAGGAAGGCAGCATGTGGGTATTGATTAGCTGTGAAATCAGCACCAGTTGTCTTAGAAGTTTAGAAAAGGAGGGGGTATGGAAGAGTAAAGAAAAACTGGGTTCATGGATGGCAGGGCTGGGTTGCAGTGACCATTCCCAACACTATCCCTAGGAAAATTCTGCACCCAATATGCAATAGCCCCTGCAGTAGGTGGTGGTGTTGTTGTTTTAAATACGGAACGCTTCACGAACTTGCGTGTCATCCTTGCCCAGGGGCCATGCTAATCGTCTCTGTATCGTTCCACTTTCAGTATATGTGCTGCCCAAGCGAGCACGCAGGTGACGTTTTCAAAGAGGTCATTGCACACACTTCACTGGCACAATAGGACTTCAGCCCCTCTGATTCACTCCCCCTCTTTAGGGCTAATTTGAGATACTGTTTCAAATTGGAATCCAGCACTTAGACTGAGGGGAGGATGTTGATATGTTCAGACAATGCTTTAGGGACTTGGTTAACTTCACAAACCCACTGGCGTTCCTGAAGGTTGGCAACCTCTCTTACCCTACATGGTTGAAGAGGAGCAAAGAGTGGGGAGAGGAGTGAGGGGAGGTTGCAACGCCATCAGAAAATGAGTTCAAGAATTACTCATGGCCCGCTGCCTACTCAGCTAAGGGTTCCTGGAAGTGAGATGGTGGTGCATTTGGGCAAACTTTCCTGTGTAACCACTTCAGTCCACAGGAGGCAAACATTTCTTCTTGCATCCAGGTCCCAGCAGCCTCCGTCCCACTGAGGAGATTTTAAAAAAAACACCCAAATA